CTTTCACACCTTTAATGAGGCAGAGTTAGACAAGGCAGGACTTGTTTACTTGCGATGTTGGTCATGGTTGAATCGCGTGGTATCCCTCCTGTCCCTCTGCTGTGCTCACAGACTGCTGTGCTCCTGAGGCGGGGGTGTGGAATTGGGAATCTCGGGAGAAAACTGCTGGGAGGCTTTTAAATATTTTGGAGAACGGGTGAATGTCTAGGAGACACAAAGAATCTGCAAGAGCCACAAGGATCAGTAAAGTGCATGCATGTAGATACTTTTTTTTTTTTTACATCATCTTTATTCTTTTTACCTAAGAAAATAAGATTGTGATCAGGCAGTAACAAAACAAAATGCTTGCAGGGTTGTGGCAGGAGGAAGGCACCGCCATCCTGCCTGCTGGGCAGGCGCACCTGGCGAGTGGCACGGTGGAGCCTGTTGCCTCTGGCCCGCCCGTGGCTGCAGGAGTGGCAGAGTAACTCTTATTTAAGCACCAAGAAGTAGGTGGTCCAGCCGGCGAGCAGCAGTGCCCCGACCAGCACGGTGTAACTGAACAGCACGAAGGCCAGCAGCTCCTTCAACACCTTGAGGAAGTGGACAGCGAAGGAGTCCGGCATGGTTCCCGGCGGCAGGTAGGGTCTCTGGGGCTGGCTGCAGCCCGGCTCCTCTCCACTCTGTAAGCAGAGGGATAGGATGAGTCTGGCTGAGCAAGGAAACTGCAGAGCTGGCGGGGTGGCTCTGCGGTGGGGAGAAATCCCTGTGTTCAAGAGGGTTAATGCCACCCGTCCTTCTAAGAAGGTTCTTAGTATCAGGTTGGACTTGGGTGTGCTTGTTCAGCGTGATCAGTGTTGAAAAAGTGTTTGGGATCGGATCAAAGTCTCCAAATCAGGACTAAGCAAATAAAAATACAGACGCACGGGCAGAGGATGCTGCTAGAGGGCCTTACGCAGTCCAGCTGGCTCCTGGTATCCCTCCCCCCTGTGACAGTGGCTGTGCATCCAGGAAGCTTCACGTTCAGAGCGGTCGCTGATGGTGCATTACCCACAGTGTGTTCTGATCAAAGTGGTCAATTCCTCCAAGGAAGTCACCATTAATATTTAATGATATAATTGCATCTAATGGAGATACTGGCACAAACTGAGCCTTTTGTTTAAGAATGACGAAAACTGGGGCTTAAATACAAGTTTGCACAAGCAAATATTTATATCTCACGTTAAAAATAACCCTTAAATGGGAGACGTGGGATAAGATGCTTTAGAATTTGTCTGTCATCCTTCCACATCACTTCTAAAGAAGTTGCTCATTTGCTAGTGCAAGATAAAATCAGAACACTTCCACAAAAGTTGTTGGCTCCTTAGACTTAAAGCTGTGAAGACCCAGCTAAGAAAATTCTACCGTCTCTCCGATTTACATGTTCTTTTTAAATTTTGATCACAATTGTGCCTGATCAAAAATAGCCATGCTCTTGGTCAAGTACATAAAGGGAATTTAAAACCAGACTCAAGATAAAGCTAACCTAACAGGAGTATTTCTTGTCTCAACACTCTAAAGCCAGCCAAAGTAAACTGAATTCCCATCTTGTCACTTCTTAGAATAATTTTTTTTTTTTTTAAAGAGCTCTTGTGATAGAGCGTTCACTTTCTGATTAATTCACTCTTTTGGTTTTATTAAAGAGTTCAGTCATTTCATTCTAAGCTCAGGCACATGTATGCTATAAGATTACATTTTAAAACCAACCATGGTTTCCCAGTTGTTCAAAGCATTGAAGTTTTCTGTCTATAGGCTTTACGTGATTTGTGATTATCTAAAAAGATGCTGATAAAGAAATAAGCAGCTTACCTAGTTAGATGATGGGCTCTACTTCGTAAAGTTTCTATTTCTCTCTAGTTTTGTTCTGCAGCTGTCCCTTGAATGTCTGGCTTCTAAACGGTTTGTGCTGTAGTTTGAGCCCCTTCTGATCTGCTCGTCCGGGAGCCAGGAGCGCTGAGGTTGTGTTTGCAGCCCATACGAGGACTAATGCACTAGGTGTGGTCAGGACCAGTTATTACACGCCAGAGCCTTGCGCTCTGTGCAGCGCGGCAGCGCAAAGCACTCCCCTTCCCCACAGTGCTTCTGTCAACGGTATTTTGAGAGTTGAAGCACTGTGGCTTAGTGTTATCAGGTCAAAACTTGCGTTTGTATAAATGTGTGTGTGTGTTGGGGGTTTGTCCTCTAACAAAACCTTGTGCCACCTTACACTTTTTATTCTGCAGTTACCTGGAAAGCCGTTGTGCCTCTTGCTCCATTCTCTGAGCTCCCCATGCTTCCGTGGGCTGCTCAGGGAGGGGGATGCGCCCACAGAGCTGGGGCTTGGCCCCATCAGCGGCATACTCCAGGGTGGAACCGTGTGGGCTGAGCCGGGCTTTGCTATCAAAAGGGAGCGAGTGCAGAAGGCAGCCTAACTGCTGCACTGCCACTAGTTCACTGCTCTAGCTTCACCCCTGCACACCCAAGAAGTCATCCCTTTAGCAAGCGAGTGCTAAAACTCTTTTGCAGC